CTGGGAAAGTAAGAACACCACTTTCATTAGTGCTGGTACAATACTGCGCTGAGGTACAAGGGATGGTTGTGTAAGTGCAGGTACAATATTTTTTTTATAAATTAATGGTGTTCTAAGCTAAATAAATATATCAATAAAATTATTTTAAATAATGCTAATTAGCCTTTAAAACATTAGCTTCTACAGCACTTTAGATCATATCTGCTTGAAATAAAAAATCACCTCCAGTAAATTCTCACATTCTACAAAAACATTCACAAAATGTTCCCTGGTGAAGCAGCTGAAGTACCCAGATCCCGGGTTATTAATTAGTTAACAACTTGATTATACATTCTAAATTTATGCCCAATAAACGTCAGCCTTCCTTCCGTAGGATGATATATTGTTAAACCCTGTGGGAGACTTTCCAAGGATTGCTACCGTTCTAAGATCTTCCTATTACGCTGGAACCTACACTCTTAAGAACAAGGGAGACGAAAATGGTGTATATATTTCGGTATATCAGGCGATATTAATAATGTGTTGCGGGTTTATAAATAAAAGAGGGAGTGTCTTCATGACTCCACCTTGTACGTGGGAACGAGCAGGTGGTGGCTTATCTAATTGGATCATTAAATGGCTAAAAATGAGTTTTGTTTCATGGTTCTAAGTTGTGTGTTACTGATCAATTGTACCTTGCGTATGCCAGCTACTCTGCTTAAAACACTTATTCGCTCTCTCTTTATCTACTTATTCTTTATCACTCTCCTTTTGTATTTTATTTCTCTCTTCTATTCTACTTCCTTTATTTTTATCCTCTTTCTTCCTGCTTAACTCGACCTCGATTATAATGGGCACCAAATAATAGGCGAGAGACATTTACCCGCGAAGTAAATCATGCTGCTCAGTACAGTACCCGGTAATGAGCAAATACTCAAGTGTTTAATGTGACTTGACAATAACAAGGTTTCCAAGGAACACTTTCTAAACAAACATTGCTATTCTGTGTGCTCGAGCTGTTGCCACACCAACTTGGGTATTCCGTCACGTGCAAACATAACCGCCTCCACTCAGTTGCGCCTGGAACCCGGGATACAGTTGCCTGTGAGATTATGAAGACCCGGGTCTATATACTAAAAAGCATATTACGATAAATATTGCTCGTATGTGAAGATCTAAAGATGCATTTACTGATTGACTAAAGTAAAACACAAAAATAATAACTTCCAAAAATAGCATCAAAATTGTACTACAACTTAAGTAGAGAATAAAAAAAAGGAAGATCTTGTAGCTATGTATATACATATCTAGTAAATTCTAGAGAGTTATTCTGGTCCTATCTTAGCACGTTATTTTTGTGTTTTACCTTAAGTCAACTCGTCTGGTGTATACTTTAGGCAATCCCAGTCCACCTAATTATAAATGATGACCTAAATTTACAGTTGAGGAAGAAAGGGCGGTCGACTACAGTGCCAGCCACGCCACCTCCTGATACACCGAAGGTTTACTATACACTGTGCTTTTACCATCTCCTTCTCCCTCTTCCTCCCTCTTCCTCACGATCTTTTTCCCCCTCTTCCCCATACCCTCTCTATCTCTCACTCCTTCCAGCCAAGCATATCTCCCCGCCTACCTGTGGCTTCTATCAACGACTGTGACTTGAGGGAAGTATTATTCAAACAACAATTCAAGGCTACATAAAAATTACCCAGAGTTATACAACACAATGTCTAGTACGTGGTAGTAATTAAGAGACATCCCCTACGCCCTTATTCAACACCATGTTTATGTGGCCGGGACCTGTTGGACAGATATTATGTAAACTAAAGCTAAGCCACAAGTCATGATAAAATGTAGGCTCAGTGCATGATTCCTGGCCCTCCCATGTATGTATGTATGTATGTATGTATGACAAAAATGAATTCTGAAAACAGACATATCCAATTTTCTGTGAGACTCGGGAGCACTTCCGAAACACATAAGCGTAGAGATGGAAGCAATAACAAGCATAAAGTGTTGGTTGCGTGACTTTCCGGTTTAGTAATAAAAAAATACATAGATGTAGCTTTACCCCAGAAAGTTTATAAATCTTTTCTAAATCCACACGAGTACCCCAACAAGTGAAGCGAAAGAAAAAAGGCCGAATACACCAATGAAGCAAGAAGCAAAAAAGACAAGGGTTGGCATTGATGAAGTAAGAACCAAAAAACAAGAGAACTGGAAGTGACACTGTTGAAGCTAGAATCAAAGCAACAGAACTGGAAGGGATACTGTTGAAGCTAGAATCAAAACAATAGAACTGGAAGGGATACTGATGAAGCAAGAAGCAAAACAACAGAACTGGAAGGGACACTGTTGAAGGAAGAACCAAAACAGACGAGACCACAGCAACTTGGCGTGACATCCGAACTCCCAAATGACTCCTGCTTGACTTAACACCAGCCAGCCGAGCATCACACGCCATCATTATCCTCTACCATAGTAACCAAGCCTTAGCCAACAGGTTCTTTGCACCACCCGCCACCACGGACCATAATATATACCTGAATGGGAATGCCTCGTCGTGATGTGTCCTGATAAATTACCCCCGTCTCGTGATGGATTTCCATGTAGGTGATTTTCTACAAAGAGATCCCTGGCGTGTGACTTAAATGTCGACCTATACATAAGATCATACAGTAGGTTCGGAAACTCAAACTTTCGTACGATTATTTTCCTTGAACTGAAAATAACGTGAAAATATATCTAAATGGCTCATCTTACTTAATACATTAATACAGTAGGTTATAATGGTGTTAAAACTGCAGCGATAATTCTGTAACTTGATGCATTCTCTTATGGCCACTTTAGGAACAATATAACGAACCTTTGTGTGTGTGTGTGTGTGTGTGTGTGTGTTAACTTTGCTTTAGTTAACATAATATCTGTCCAAAAGGTCCCAGCCACATAAACATGGTGTTGAAGAAGGGCATAGGGGATGTAGCCTTGAATTGTTGCTTGAATAATACTACCCTAAAGCTACGGTCATTGTAAGAGGCCATAGGTAGGCGGGGAGATATGCTCGACTGGAGAGAGAAAAAGAGAGAGGGGGGGGGGAGAGATAGTGAAAGAGAATTCTATAAATTTGGGAGTGTTGATTAAGCACAGTGTATAGTAAACCTTCGGTGTATCAGGAGGTGGCGTAGCTGGCACTGTAGTCTACCGCCCTTTCTTCCCCAACTGTAAATTTAGGTCATCATTCACAATTAGGTGGACTGGGATTGCCCGTGATCGAACCAACGTAGGTGAGCACTGTACCCACATGGTCGCCGCACCCGTAGCAGGAGATAAAGAGAGGGAAAAAGACAAGGACATACAAATATAAAAAGATAGATAAGGAAATAGAGGAGACAGAACAGAGAAGCGATTTAACAAGGAGAAAAAGATGTTGAGAGGAAAAAAAGGAAGACATATAAATTACATAAGTAACATATACAGAGGGAGAGAGAGAGAGAGAGAGAGAGAGAGAGAGAGAGAGAGAGAGAGAGAGTGATGGAAGAATATACCATTACACAGAAAGAAAACAAAAGACAAATAAAAGTTTGAGAAAATGAGACAGAGACAAACTGGAGGAAGCAGGAGACACCGACAGACTTCCAGTAGAGACAACCATCTTACTCAGACTGCCCAAGGTTCGTGTGATAAATATCCTTTGTAACCAAATATGTAAGAATACACCTAACGTGCAAAAATAGGACCATAATTTACTAGATACGTCCACTAGGTACTATTTTGGAACACTTAAGGTACAGATCTTTTTGTAAACGTTCTTTACTTTACCTTAGTATAAATTTGATGATATTTTTGTAAGTCATTTTGTTGTGTTCTTGCTTTAGTCAACCAGTAAATGTTTATCCTTACATCCTAATATATGAGGACTATTTATCGTAATAACGTTTTTAGTTCATGGATTCGGTTCTTCATAATCTCACACTGTAGAGAAAGAGAAGATAAATGAATACAAAGGTAAGCTCACACGAAAGAGATTGGAAAAGGGAGTGCACAAGAAAAAGACAGGAGGCAGGCGACTATCGTTAGAGACTGGCGAGGAATGCACAGTGCACCCGGGAAACCCTTAAGGGGAAGGTATAGAAGAAAAAAAGTGCTAAAGGAGGTAGAGGGCACGCCTACCTCAACCACACACACAGCTAACGGCAAAGGACTTCCCCATACCATCTGGCCCGCAAGGTCACGACCGCCACCACCACGAAACTCCAGACACAAAGGGAAGACATCCTCCTTACGTAACTACCCACGACCTCGTCAGGGGGATTCTCAGGAGTACAAGACCATCTAGCCTTCGTGAGTTTGGGTGGAATTACGCTGGACAATAAAAGTGGCCGTCTAAGATTCGATCAAGATGCGTTTATGTGGATCTTTCATCAAGTCGTGTGATGTTATGGGTCTTGGATGACGTTGATAAAACTGTGATTTTTGACTTTATTAAACTTTATGAAAGATTTATTTATTTTAGATCATGAACAAATTGCACTCACATGACACTAGAGAAATCAAGTGCAAAATTCCATTTATTTTTTAATTTTCTATTTGTTTATCGACTCTCTTAGTCAACCAGTTCGTGTGTAATCGTTTGAGTGGCAATTCTCACCATTTTGCTTGTCCATTTCTTGTAATAAAAAAGAATAATAATAAGCAGCAAGTCTTAAATCCACAATAGACGTGAACCTCCCAGGCAGTGACTGATGAACACGAAGACCATTAAGAGACTATCGAATTTCCGCGATACAAGGAAACACGCTATGCAGATCCGGTGGGCTGACCTTGTGAAAACTGTTGTGGAGTCCAGAGACACACAAAAACTGACTGCCGAATATAGTAGGATCAATTTATGGCTTATTTCTACTGACATAGTGTACTCGGAGGAAAAAGGTCTATCGCACAATAATAATAATTAATGCCACTTAAGTCATCTACAATAAGTACTGGAGAAACAGCGATTGTGTAAAGTCCTCCTTGTGTGT